ACCGTGGATCCTGCCCAATTATGCTAATACTTCATTCTTTAAGGTAGGATCTTCACATATATTAACTTAGTTGTAGCTAATGTTGTTTCTAGTGCTTTTACAACTCTTGATTGAAGTTCAACATCTGTGAGAACAACAACTGGAAGTATGAATAATGTTTACACTCATGATCGTTATTTTGGACAATCGTAATTAAAGTTTCTGCAAAATAATCTTTGTTCTGCCTCTGATTAAATCTGATTTCTGTGTTTTTATGCTTTCATCCGTTCTGGTTTAGAGATTGGCAGTAGTAAACAATATTCCGTTTAGTTTTCAGTTTGGGTGTAAACAATCCACCAGAAAAAGACAGGCTGTTAGATGGATCAAGATAACAGACTCCTGAATCTGAGAATATAGGAAACATTTAAAAGGGCTTTTAGGTACGAAATGAATTGACAATAGCACCGAATTCAAGTTTGCCAGAGATAGGCGATAGGGTTGACTGAGGCTGATATTTTTTGATATTGCTGTAACTTATCACGATGTTTGGATACTGATGAAATTCCGAACCTTCTTCTAAGGAGGTGTCCCGTCCATTAGTAACCCTCTTTAATGAGTTTTTTATGATAGATTTCACACCGAAAACGTAGAGAGATAAGTATAGTCCTAGCACCGATGAGCATGTACATTGATGTGTACGTTAAATCAAGGTCCTCAGAAATAAATTCTTGCCTTCAAAGGATGGGGAAACTTCGACTCCATATACCTCAGCTTGTAATTATGAGACTTATTAGTTTATATCATTTTATTACGGATGTGGATGATGTGTAATGGCATCAAATCCTAACCACAATCCTCAAAGCTAAACATGTGATAACTGGGAAAATAGACTTTCAGTATGTAACACTAAGAGAAGGTAAATAGTAGTAGACGCGGTAACATTCACTCGAAATTGAAATAATTGGATGTCAAGGCTCAGCCTTGCGAGCGTGATCCTTCTTGTGTAACTTATCTCTTTTATTTATACTAACTATTGTTCTATCTCCAACCCAAATGTGTTCTCCATCGTATATTGGTGATATTACGATAGGACGAGTCAAGGGAGAAAACGATGTGACTTCCACATAGTATCTTATAGATTAGGTAGTCATATCTTGACAAATCTTCAATTTTAGGATTAGGTCTATTACCATAATAATGCTAATAACGAAGTAGTCTATAATTCCACAGATGCGCTGTCATAGGCCTTCTTAGAGAGATCGAGAAAACTAGGAATAGCAGTGTGGATTTATCACAGAGATGGGGCGAACACTATATTGGCTACCACGGTTCATTATTTATTAACAACATGAACAACAAATAATAATAAATCCTTGACCGAGTTAGAGCAATAAACAAAGTATTGAAGGTAAGAGCTGTTTTTTTCCTGGAATGCTAAGGTATCGATATAGTTCCCTGAGCTCTTTATTCACTCTTCCAATAGTAGAAACAGAAGAAATGAACGTCCATATATGGATGAAAGGTGTTTTACAAGGTTACAATACAATCGCCACGTAACTAAAGTTCCTCAATTTTTACCTCCTAGCCCTCCACTTCATCGACCATGATCAACTGCGATTTAATTATATCTACTTTGAAGACATAACAAAGTACGTCAAAGAGTGTCAACAATACTGGTGTTAGACACAAACTGATATGATGTCGATGACGGTCTAAAGTGTGGGGCGCATGAATATAATAGATACTTTTTACTCTCTCTGCTTTATCACTACATTTAATACATTATTAATATGAGTGCCAACTCAATAGAGTTGGCATTCAACCAAAGAAGCTTCAACAGTGTTCATATGCCAGCTTTTCTAACTAATACTTTGTAAGGAGCAGCAGCTGGAGATCAAATTATAGACCGCATTACAAGAAACGCCAATAAATATATGCCACGCATATTTTTGATTTTTTTCCAAGATTCCATTTATTCAGTATATTTTATAGTACTAATAACAAAAGCTGGGCACCTAAGTTTTATTTGGGTTTTTCGAAGTGGAACAGTATACTGATCATGAAGCAAAACGTCATATACATGAGAGCAGAGAATTTTCGAATTTTATTTATTAAGTTGTTCAGATTTTAACTGCCTAGCGGTATTTGTAATTTTTCGGCGTACTGCACGCATATTGCACTTACATATTTAAAATGATGTCAAACGGTAACATGGATTCCATATTGTATGAGTGTAGTGGCATTGGGCCCTAACACAAGACAATACGAAAAATAGGCATTCAACATTTAACGCTGGGAAATACCGAACAATGAAGAAAGGCGGGAACAGTGAATTGAATTAATACGAGTTAATCTTATGGCATGGCTCAACCATGCAGGCGTGGTCCCTCCTGCTAAATGTTACGTTATGTCTTTTATTCATATTGAATATATATTGTTCCATCTCTAGCCTAAGCTTGTTCTCTATCACGTATTGGTAATTGTTACAATGCAATGAATTGGTGTAGGCGACGATGTAACTTCCACGTGAGATCTTATAGATTAGGCAGTTACATCATGATAAATCTACAATTTTAGGATTAGGTCTATTATTAAAGCAGTGTTAATATCATAGTAGACCGTAATTCTACATGAGTACTGAATAAGGTGATTCTTACCAGTCGTTGCATGATAGCTTCCGTATTCATTCCCTCCTTTATATCAGTGCTTAGACCATGAAGTGTAGAGGGGTGAATTCATTCTAGTGTTCGTTTATCAGTCCTCCTGAGAACTCCTATTGCGAAGATTGCCAACATATACGACATTGAGAAGTTGAAGAAAAGCTATTAACAATAGTCTATTTCTGGAGCATCATCCAAGTGATATATCTGGCAGATAGCGGAGCTGGAGAGTGGATAAATATTTATGAAGTATGGTACTACAGTTGGCACACTTACGACTAAGAGCTGGGAATATGGGATTATGCATTGAGCCTTCACAGACTACCGAAACGCGAAAGCTAATTAAATCAACTACTCATAATGTGAATTATCTAGTGTCAATTGCAAGCTAAGATATCCTGTCTGAAAAACTGTTATTCAACATTACACTCTAGAGATATTATCAGAAACAGTTAATTTTAACACTACTTGATTGTCTCCTTAAAGCGTCATCTCAGTCTAGTTACCGCAGAGAACTTGGATACAAGCGCAATCTAAGTAGTGGGCGCAGTTAATGCATACTTAACTCATCAATTTATGTGAAGATAACCTGACTCACTTCCCCCCAAATCGTTCAGAACTTTTCAAAATATAGGCACGGCTCCACCCTGAAGTTCGAAATGTTGTGGCATCTCCTCTCTCCAAATAAGATGTCAATTTCCCAGACCAAGTACAGAGGCGAGCAATTGAATGGGTGATGGAGATAGGAAACAAATCTTATAAAGGCAGGTTCAAAACCTTAGGATTATTCTTGCTGAGCTGTGGGAGAGTAATGTGTTATCTGATAATGACAGAAAACATGTTAATTAGGCCAAGTCACGCCCCACATGAGAATCCTACCAGAACATCACTACCACTTTCCTCAAAACAACCCCTGAAAAACTCCAAACCCGGGAGCAAAAACTCCCGTTTGAACCAGCTGTACCTGATGTGTGCCTTGTAACTTATGTATTGTTGTCATTATTACGTATCAACTTATCGTTATCCCGCTTATTATCATCTTCATTTTCCCTCCTATTCTTACACTTAGGTATTCTCACACTATCTTCGGTACCAATCATTTAACCCACTTGTTTAGTTCTTGAATCAATTCTAATTTTCTGTTTATCAATTTTTGCATCGCAATCAACCAACTGACCCCCAAACTGGTAATGTGATAGCCGCTAGTATCGAGAAGCCCGACTACCCTGAGACAAACGTACTCACTGAGATAACGTTATATACAAACCCATAAGTACGCACAGTCAGAATGATTGGAGTTAGTGTAGCCGAATAACTATGCTTCCGTTCATCAAACACCACAAAATGCCTGGAGCCGCACCGAAGCAGTAAAAAGCGGAAGTAGATAAATCAATCGGTCCACATAAGCTGATCACAAAAATTTGAACACTAGATTCTCCACTGCTCCATTATTTACTCGATAATGTCCAAGTATCTAATTGCAGGATAAAATTTTTGTAGGTAATTAAATGCTCTGAAACCAAAGCTAACGGAATCTCTCTCTTTGTAGCTCATCGATTTGAGATTATATGTTTCATGAGATGTTCTAAAAGTGAAATATAGTATTACGAACTTTAAGCCAAACCTGGTTGACGAATCCACTCACCATGGAATGAGAGACATTAATTTCACTAACTATATTTAACCTTACATTAGTTCCTAGAAAACATGTTGTTAGCCTTTTTCAGTCTACGACTGCAGTAGTTATGTCTGTTGTAGCTAAAAATTACTTGTTTGCTTGACGCTCTTTTGACATCTGCAATACAGTGTTGATTTTGGATGGGAAATGCTACTCCTCTACTTTTATGACTTAAGGTTCTGTTCAAAAATGCCGTAAAGTCCTTTAATTGGATCACGCTATTAAGAATAAAGTCCATTGAGTCCCATTTGCTGTTGCGGGTCCTAAGTTTATGTATGCAGTTTAATATCCTATCCGACAGGAGCATTAAGAAAAAGTGCTTGTACAGTGTAATTGCACGAAACCCACTGTGTTGAAGGTATTTTACCTATTTGGAACAGATGCTTGATTAGCTTTTTACTTTTAACTATATGTCACTATAAGAGAGCGAAAAAGCCTTAATCCTCATAAAACGAGACTTTTGTCGGCAGTGTTTATTCTCCAAAACTATTATGGCAATTCTTACTATCTACTCAGTTGAAAATTTTTCTCTTACCACAAACACTATGGTTGAAACTTTTTGTTACGATTAACAAAGAGTTAGCCTTCAGATAATAAGCTTTGTTTTACAGAATCACTATTTGAATGGACAATAAGAGTGGGTTGTTTATATTTTTATTTAGTAGCTGCGGGTGTGGGTAATCATGATCACATTTCCTCACTTATTACTTGGTACTTTCGTTTTAATACAAAAATACTATTTTTTAGTTTACTGCATACATCTGACTCTGAAGATGGCATTTTCGGCTGATCCAGATCACTGTCCAGGTAAGAAATTTCAATAAGTAGCCGTTTTTTATCATGGATCAGAATTAAATGTGTTGTTATTTGACCGAATTTTTGTGTTAAAATGATTGGAATACACAAAATCTGCTTCAAAACACTATTGGTGATGTCTCAACTTCTTGTTCGCTTTCTTGAATCTGGCATGCGTTGGTAAATGAGTACTCCTCTATAACTGATTTCTCCACAAAACCTCAAGACAACCATTGTATGGTAGTATAAAACAAATTTATTTAGTGCATTTATCGCTCAGTTCGACGGGAAGTTTTTGAACGAAACACGGAGAAAAATGTCTAGTTTTCCAACAAAATATATTTTATTTCTCACACGACTCAGACAACAACATAAAACCAAGATAACAACGTCATCTGAATGTTTTGGGTGATAAAAGAATAAGGAGGATTGCGGTAAACATTTTATATCATAATAACTTTGTGAACAACTTTTATACTGCTATAAATAACGGCAGACACAAAAAGTGTACCAAGGTTAGAGATAGACTTGTGTATCAGCACACTGTGAGAATGGGCAGTCAATATTGACGAGGGATTAAGCTTTCTACCCTAGTAATATAAGTTGGATGACCAATGTTTTTTTTACATCTTAGAGACTTTTGCAAGTGTTTAGATCTTATGACGATGATCTCTACAGACAAATGAATGGTGTCGCGATGGGATCTCCGTTGGAACCTCTTCTAGCAGACTGTTTTACGGACACTCTGTAGAATAATTGTTAGAAGATTATCGTTTATTAATCGGAGGATAGAGATATCTAGATGATACTTTTACCGTCTTCGACCAAGGTAGCTTTCTTTAATGAAATACCACAAGAGTTCAGTAATTGTCATCGCTCGATGAAGTTCACAAAAGAAGCGAGGTTAAATTCAGAATTTCACTTCCTCAGTGTTTTACTGAAAGGGAGAACATATGGATCTTTACAGCGATCGTTATACAGAAATCTAACCTGGAACGGTGAATATACGAACTTGTAGTGTTTGGTGTCTCTAAGTAATCAGAGGAATTTACTTCATTCTCTATCTTCAAGAGCCAGGCGAATATGCACTGACGACACAATTAACGGTAAGCTAAATACAATCCGACGTACGCTTTGAAGAATGACTCACCCAAATTCATTGACAGTAATCTAAAACCAAAGTCAAATCGAAAGAGCTCTCATGGTTCCGAAGAAATTTCTATCCTTGAACATCGAATTCACAGGAGATATGGCAGCTGAGATTTTAAGGAACAAACTATCTAGATTCGTGAAGAAGACTATATCCAGCGGAGCTTCAGACTATTTTTTTCCAGCAAGAAACTCATTCAGGGGTGTGTCGATGATAAACTGCGGCTATGGGTCATCGTAATGTGCATCTACCAGTTTATTTGTCCTTGTGGAAAAGGTTACATTGGCCACACAAAGCGCGCACTTGGTAAAAGAAATATATGAGCACTACCTCGCATGTTATCTAAAGGGCTATACATAACAATCAACAGCTCAGTCCCGGAACATATGGTCAATTCAGATCACACCCCACCACACAAATCTGCGTTCAGAATCCTCTACGAAGTAAGAAAAACTGGTTCAAAGAGGTTTGAATGAGTAAATTATGCGCACTCAAAGCTGTGGCAATTCACCGCTTCGAGTCCAAACTTTGTGTACAGAAGAGTCGTGTTCGATCCCACATTCTCTCATGATCTTAGCACCTCTTCTAATTTTACAAATTATAATTGCCATTTATAATGATAATAGTAGTTATTATTAATAATATTTATTTTTTATTCTATAGATTATTACTTTATATTATTTCTAAAACCATTATATAACGTAAGCTCTTGATGACTGTTGATCACTTTCTTGTATGATGATCAGGAAGCAGAGAAAACAAAAGTATAGTTTGGAATAAAAATACGAAGTTTAAATTCATTGAGTTATAGCTTATATTCGTTTGTGACGAGGACCGTTATTATTATTATTTATTTTAACACATAAATATCGGTACAAGGAGGCACCAAATACATATGCGCCACACATATCTCATTTGATATGTGTGAGGGCTGTGATACTGCCCAGGGGCCCAAACCGAAGCAGGTGGTTTTCTTAGAAGGCCACACCCCGAGCCTTTGACCTAAAGGTCTAACCCACAAGGCAGTGGAGCATCGTAAGGAGATGCAGTCCCATGGTAGCCGTTGACCAACGATTGGTTCATACGCCATTTGTTCCCTCAGGCAGGATACTGGAGCCCATGTGCACCATTGGTTTGAGATCCGGTTAAAGCGCCGGACATTCGCTTTTCGTCCTCTCATTTTCGTAAACAACAGTAATGCCACGAGAAGGCAGTGAGTAGGACTTCCCTGGAAGAGGCTATATACGCGTGGTCATGTGAGAGCATTTGGAGAGGGTGAGCGGACTCTCCCCACTCTCGGCCGTACCAGGGCATTTGGGGGCCGTAATCAAAAATTATAATGTTATTTCTCAGCACTAGTTTTAAATATCATTTTCATATATACATTGTGACGTTAAGGTAGTTTTCACCCTTTGGATAGTAAACATCAAGTGAATGTAAGCAATTAATTCGAAATAATTAATGAACAAAAAACACCAATCTTATTCCCTTTGGTAGAGGCAATCGCTATCAAACGTTTCCGATCTGACTTATATATGCAGAAGGAGAGTGTAATTAGCCTTTCCTCATCATGGTGATTGAAGGTTCATCCAATAACCTTTTTTAATTTTAAATTTCCTTTCGGCCTTGTCCCCAACCTTTTATCTTTGTTTTGATTTCGTTTTATGACATTCATGTCTTATACAATCCTATTGATGTGGATATATTCGCTTATTTCTTATCATGTTGAGCGATTGCCAAAACACTCATTAATTTAATTACCTTTATCTTGGTAATAATTAACAGTAACTATGACATCCGTTTTACTCTGCATTATCACTTTTCAGTGTGTAAATACAAATCGATTTTGACTATGTTTATCCACACACTTTGTGTTCCTATTCTTCTTATTATGGTTTTCGTTACGTTTCGAACATTTATCTAAAATTCACAAACTGAAGTATGTTAAACACTTGTTGATAACCATATTTGTATTAATAGTTGTGATTTTGCGTTATATGCAGCTGATGAAAAACCGTGAAATAGAACAGATTCATTTTATTGTGCCAAAATTTGTTGTTCTTGCTCTGTTTAAATTTATCAAGGGATCTGGTTGTATAAAATACGTCATTGTTTCATTTTGTTTTAAATGATTTCAAACTCCATAAAATTTTCTCAGAAATGTTAGAATTACAAGATATGATTTCATATTTTGTACTCTAGTCAAGGGCTAGGCGTAGCGCAACTTGTAGCTTGATATTATATTTTATTGTCATTATTTGACAGGATATAAAACTGAATAGTCACTATAAGGATATATATAATGGTAAAGTCTGTATTGCAAAATGAACTGCGGTAATGAATTCCACAAATTTAATCAGTGTATAGTAAATAATGTGTAAATGAATGTAAAAAAATTTTGAAGTTTGTTCAACTTATTCTTCGACTTTTCAAATCACTTCTTTCACCACTGATTAAAGATTATTTCTAAATTTTATGTCATTAATTTTTATTATGATTGTAATCCATATATTTTATGAAAGTCAATTAGTTATACTATTCACTTGATCAGTAAATATTTATAGTATACCTATGTAAATGTATAGATATTTTGATTTCATTTCGCAACATTTTTTTTGTCTTTTCCCTATACCATTTAAGGTCAACGAATTAAATGTTACAGTTGTAATTCTGTTGAAGACAATCACTGCAACGATCCATTTTTTCGACAACCACAACAGACCAAATCATTTCCTTTAGTGGATTGTAATGATTATTGTTTTAAATGGGCTTTTCAAGGTCCAGGTAAACTAAAAATATTTTTCATTATATACTTGAACATCTTTTGTGGTTAATTCAAACATTGATATGTATGATACTATTTTATACTATACTACTTGGTTCAATCAACTTTTAATATATGTGCGATTAAAATGCAATTTGTATTTATTAGTAATGAAACTTTTATTGAAATTTGTAAGTGTTAAAATAATTAGTATGTGAATGTATAGTTTAGTCTGTCTGTGGGCTGCTTGTAATTTAATTCGATATAAATCTATGTGAGTGGCCTGAGAAAAGTAACAATGTAATTACTTACTCAGATAAAATCTTCAGCCAAAGATTACGTAATACATGAGGCAATATGAATCGTTATTTATAGTAAGGTGGGGGGTTCGTGTTAAAGGAACACTAGGATGTAGTAGTTGCACGGTGATCTTAATTTTCTGCGTCATCGGTTTTCCAAATGTGTATATGTTACCATAAATTCATATATTTTAGATCTATTTTAATTAATTTTGTCTGTCACAGAGTGTACTTACATGCTTTCATAAAATACCTACAACCTCTGGCAAACTTGATTATTGAGAAACTCAAGAAGTACTACCATGATGGTTTGTATATTATCCTCCTCTCTTTTGGAGAAACATAAAATACATTCGCCAATTGAAATATATATCATCAGAACAAGAATTATCGTAAATATTTACTGATAAATATGGAGTGACAGTTAATCATTGTTTAAAAAATTTATTATACATATTTTTTGAATATTTATAAGTGTAATCTCTATAAAACAACTATGTGTGGCGAATTTACACTGGGAATTTTTGATTTCAATCAAATATATAGTGTTTCAAAAGTGAGTATTATTGAACTTGTTCAACAAAGGGCCTCACTGTGTGCAAGAAAATATAGTAAAGGAAATTGACTGAAGTATATAAGCTAACTATACAATCTCTAGAATGCACCCTACGCTATTAATAATAAGTAAGTGTGATAAGTTTAAGTTATGAAAATACAGAAATAAGTGTATACATTACTTAGATTTATTTATTGAACCTGAAGTTTCCCAAAGTACAAAAAATGGCTGTAGGATGTTCTATCCATTCCAGGATACTTTTAGTTAATTAATACCACAAGCAATCGGTTATTCATACCCTTTGTACAAGCTATTAATTATCCGGATTCAGTAGTTCAAAGGATAACTTCTTAATTATTTAAACGAATAGTACTGGGTTCGAGTTTCAATATGAAAATCACTGTAATATAGGGAAATCTTCTTGATGAGTTACAAATAAGACAAAATGCTCGTCCCCGATTGCACTACTAGCAATTAGATGGTGATTGGAGGTAGTCGACAGGAAACCCTGGACCCGGGTTTCGTGCTACTTGGCACTCGTCAGCAAGGTGTACCTGTAATCTTCGAGGGAACTGGTGCTCCCTGGCGGATTCGATCCCGTGTCACCCAGCTTCACAGTCAGAGACGTTACCACTGAGCTATCCGGGCCGCGACCCACCTCCTGTAGGACTGAGATGTAATCACAATTGATTGATCACTGGGTGACCAATGTCATGCGTGTCTAGTCCTTATTATTAGTGCAGATCGAATGCTATCGATCATGTTGCAATGTGGCCACCAGTCTAGGTGACTCGACAGCACCAGTTCCCTCGAAGATTACAGGTACACCTTGCTGACGAGTGCCAAGTAGCACGAAACCCGGGTCCAGGGTTTCCTGTCGACTACCTCCAATCACCATCTAATCTCACAATAGTGCCCGCAGTGTCGAGTCACCTAGACTGGTGGCCACATTGCAACATGATCGATAGCATTCGATCTGCACTAATAATAAGGACTAGATACGCATGACATTGGTCACCCAGTGATCAATCAATTGTGACTACTAGCAATTATCCAACTTCGACAAAGAATAGTTTTTAAAAAAATTAAGTTTGACTTAATAATGTGGTCTAATGAGTTATTTATTTATTTCTGCTTGTTGTCAGTTTCATCAGATATTTCAAAGATAAACGGTTATTATCTGTTTAAGTTGTTGAAATATGTTAAATTACATCTTATCATCATAAAATTCTGATTGTGTTTATTTCAGTAATAACCCATTTGCTTCGTTTGTTAGTTATAACATACCTCAACTTTAAAACTAGCGTATACTACTTGATATTCTTGATTAGTATTCGTAGAAAACTTGTTATGGAGTATAGTCGAAGATGGAGTTTCACACTAAATTTCAATCTACTTTTATTTAACGATATAAGACCGAAGGTCTATGTGTTAACTTTTTCTATGTATCCTACTTAGTCAAATGAAGGTATATATACATACAGGTACATATATTTGTACAAATACATAATAACTTATTTCTCAACTGACGGATGTTCGATTCAGAAAACAAAGACAGGTTTCTTAGTTTCACTAATTCTAAGCGTAATTTTCTATTCGTCTACTTATATAAAGAAGTTTTATTGAATATATGACTACGAGTTTATTGTAACATTTTTGAATCCTCTTTACGGTGAAGAAAATGAACAGGGAAACAATGAAGAGGTCTTTATATATATATATATATATATATATATATATATATATATATATATATATATCGTCTTGTCATTGTGAACTATACGTTTATTATACTTTGACTTATCTGTCACATTCTTTGATAATCTACTTTTTCCATACACTATAGAAGTCAAAAATATTCAAAAGAGTTAGTCAAACTCCATATTTAATACATCTTTTTCCTCTCCCATATCCATCCAGAGAACTTTAGTTTTTACTTTAACTGATACATGATACTTGAAATATGCATGAATTTCTTTTAAATTTCTATATTCCTGCATAATATATTTTACTGTTTGTGTAAATACTCAATAGCAGAGTCTCTGATTACACGATTAAGTGTTTCGAGTTTAAGTTTCACAGATAGTATCAGTTCCCTCAAAATTATTGATACAATTTACTGGTGGTGCTTTTTACTAATTATCTCTAATCACTAATTTACAGTGTATTTATTATGAAGTTAGAACTTTCTCGTTATCTTGATCGGGTCATCTGATAATAAAAAGTTTACCAATAACTTGCTTGTCTATCGAACCACCGGTTTTCCCTTAAATAATGACAAAAATAGCCATAAACAATGACCGGAAATCATTAGTTCCTCTTATCCCTGGTGGCCGATTAGAAGGTGAAGATAGCAAACAGAGTTGCCTTCTATTGTAATATTGTTTTGTATTTTCCTGACTCAAAACTCACAAGATTATATACTTCAATTATATAACCACAGCATACACCAGAAATAAGAAATCACAACCAAGTCATATGTAGTATAAAACTCAACATTAGGTTTATAATGAATTAATGATAATTTAAGAACGATAAAATATATCACAACAGTGAATGTTTACAAATGAAGGCTTAAAATAAGAGTTACATGATGAAAATACGATAATATATACAATAATTCTCTATGAAATAGTTTTAAAAAACTTCGTTACTCCCAACTATTTCCACTAATCTAATAGTATTATAGTGAACAAGAACACGGAATGGGAACAATCGAACATCTCAATAAAATTCGAGAACCATATACTGTGTTCAAGTCTCAGAATGAACATCAATTCCGAGATGCAGGTACATTCAGTTGACGAGTTCCGAACAGGACGAAACGCGCGTCCTGGATCCCATTACTAGCCACTATCCATCTTTGCTTGTAATGCTTGTAAATTAAGGCAATATCGAGGCAATACAAGCAGTATGCACATATACCAATAAGAGACTGATCAATTGCAGTTCTAAACATCAATGGGAAGATTCAAGTAAAACAATATCAAGTGAATTAAACTTCACCCTATTGCTCAAGCAAGTGGCTATCAGGACTCGGTAGCTAAGTGGATAACACGATGGCGTTTGAAGAGAACGGTACAGGGGTTCGAGTCCCAGAGTGAATATCAACTCTGAGATGCAGGTGCATCCAGCTGACGAGTCCAAAATAGGACGAAACGCGCATCCTGGATTCCACTTCTAGCCACTATCCATCTTTGCATATAGTAAATAGTTAATTTGCAAAATATCAATCCATTGTCTTAAAATTGACTGTTCCTTTTACAAATATCAGTTCATTGTTCATGCATTTTCATACCATTTGTGTTCCGTTCCAGTTCTTTCCTTATTGATCTTCTACTGAAATACACTCTGTGCCTGACCACCGTTATATACTACTTATATGGATATAAGTAACCCACACCACAGTAATTTTAAATATATATACGTTTAAATATTTTATAGTCTATCAATAAATATTAATGCATATAATATTTATTGTTGTTGTTGTTGATGATGATGTTTTTCTTTCGTTATTCAACTACTAGATGGACAGAAACATTTAATACGAAATTGTTCGACAAGTTTAAATATGAAAATGGAGAAATATTTAGTTTGTATAGCTGAATCACGATCATCAATTGGTCATTTATGTTTTTGTAATAAAGATAAATGTAATTCAGCTAATTCAATTATAAAACAATTTCATTATATTTATTATATTGTTTTAATAAATCTAATTCAATTATTTTATCGATATCGACATATACTACTAATATTACCTATATTGTATTATCAATAAGTATAATGTATTTATTCATAAGTATAACTGTAGTTATTTATACTTAACTTGTATAAAATAATTTATGTATAGATTTCTATGAACTTTGTATATTTCTATATACACATAATCCTGAGATTGTTACATAATTACTTACTTAATTACACCTGTTACACCTCATAAAGGAGCATAAGCCGCCTACCAGAATTCTTTCATCGAACTCTATTCTAAACAATTCTTTCCGGTTCTTATTCATTCTTTTAATGTCTGTTTCAAAAATGCACAATGGCTAAAATTGTTAAACTATGATAGTATTTAATTAGAATTCAATAACAACAAATAAAGAAGAAGACGAATAGTAAACTAACATAGATCATAATCATAGTTGAATCCGTTCAAAATATATTCAATTCAATCATATATACAATAACACATTTATGTTTATTATATTCAAAAATAAAATGATCAACATTATCTTTTCATAAAAAGGGAAACATGGAATGAATTTGTCTTATGTAATAGGAAATGAAGAGAAAAGAAGAATACCTCTAAGTTACTTGATGATGACTATTATTTTCATTATTCTTTTTATTTTGGTTATAAAAGAAAACGATTAAGAGAGAGAGAGAGAAAGAGAAAACCCCATTTTAATAGATAATACAATTTGCATTTAGAATACTTATTATTATTACTATTATTTTTTTTTGCGTATCTATAAAGAAAACTTTTGTGTTATTTTTTAACAAATCTTTGATTGCGAATTTTTACTTAAATCTGTTACTTTCAATGGAGGATAGGTCGTTGACAAGCATTCTCCAATCTACTCTGTCCTGGGTTTTCCTTTCTAGTTCTATTCAATTATTGTTCATTCTTCTCATGTCTGTCTCCATTTCTCGGTGGAATGTGTTCTTTGGTGTTCCTCTTCTCCTATGACCTTGAGGATTATAAGTGAGTGCTTACCTTGTGAAACAATTGGGCGCTTTCCTCAAAGTAAGTCCTATCTACTTCCAGCGCTTCTACTTGATTTCTTCCTCCGCTGGAATTTGATTTGTTCTCTCCCATAGTAGGTTGTTACTTATAGTGTCTGGCTAACGGATCTGAAGTATTTTGTGTAGAAAATTGTTAATAAACAATTGTATCTTTTGAATGATGAATTTCGTAGTTCTCTAAGTTTTCACCTCATATAGTAGAACTGTTTTGACATTTGTATTGAAAATCCTGACTTTGGTGTTGGTTGACAGTTGTTTTGAGTTCCAGATGTACTTCAGTTGTAGATATGCTGCTCTTGCTTTGCCGATCCGCGCCTTCATATTTGCGTATTGTGAATTTTTAATTAATTAACTTAACATTATACAATATGAACAAGAAATCTCTTCTAGTAATATTTTTTTTTCCTACTTTCTATAACATTTTCATTTCAATAATGTAAAATTATGTACAGTTAAATGTTTCTCTAAATGAAACAATAAATAATCTGGTTTAAACGAAGAGAGGAATTGTAGTTTGTATTATTGATTTCTTTAATACTATTGAATTTTTCGGTCAGTTCAAATGTTAGTATATGAGATTTGTAGAGGTTGTTGAATTTTATAGGGATTGATTTAAGTTAGGTAACCATTTGAAATTATGAAGACAGTTGCTTCATTCTAATATAAGACTCTTTATTAATGCACACACACACACAACCCTACTAGGAGTTGAACCTAGGACCTGTATGTCTCGCTGAAAGTGTTTAACCTTTCAATTATTCAGTTGATAATCGATTGTTCATAGTTTCTAACTTCAATCGATTTGAGATTTTTCATAATTATCTCCCAATTCGATTAGTGGGTGACTGCCGCATATGTTGTTTACACAATTAAATTACCCTGATCGATTGTGCTTAATGTCTCAGCTAAGTAAATTTGAATCCACTGAATTGTTAGCCAACCGACTAAAGAATGGAAATAAAGTTTATTGAACTACCAATTTCTTTTTACTCCAGCCCATCGTAACACTGTAACTTTGGTTTATATATGGACTGGAAAAGTGAACATTCAGTTCTGTAAGATGTCGGTACAAAAGTGAGTTTTATAATAGTCTTAGATCGTATATAGTTAATAAAATAAGTCCATAGATCTAGCTCTTATTTATCTTGAAGAGAAAAACAACGAAGAGTTGAGCGAAATAACATTTTATCACATGTTTTCATCAGTTGCTTATAAGCAACGGTATTTGGAATAAACAAGAAATTACTATATTGTTAACATAACTTATAAACAGTGAAATCGATTATATATGAATATCTATCATTATGGTTGAGTGCCGATTCGAAAAAATGTTTCGTAGTCCTTTGATTTAACTCCGATTTGAATGAATATAAATCTTCCATTTTAGCTCCAGATTTCGCACCTAGGCTAACCTCATTTGTGCGACTGCGGTGATAGGGTTTCAGATACGCGTTGAGTTGAAGGAAATCATTTCAGGTATTCGTTTATTCAGACCGACATTATAAATGAGGAACGGGAAGGTGAAGCAAAGCGAACCTGAGAAGGGAAGTGTACCAACTCCATATGACAAAACGTGACTCAATATTTCTAGTCAGACAAGAAGAAGCTGAGGATATGTGATGTATAGATTAAGCGATACTCAAACACCCATACAAAACAGTCAAGGTTATTAGCGAATAATTGACGTCAAAATATGACTCAAGAAGAATAAACAAATTGGTCTGTCCGGAACTAGAATAACCAATATGGGCTTGACATGGAGCTAGAAATACAAATACAATTAGGTTGAAGAAATGTGACAAGTGTTGCAAACAAATACAATATGCGAGAGATCCTGAATCATCGAACAAAGTAACAAAAGATTATAGAGTTGAAACGTTAAGTATGTACTGAAGCAGTTGACCATAAGTTAATGGTAATCTAGAATAGCATGAGTTAAGATCATTTAGTTAAAAATAAAATTATGAATTCGAATAAAATGGGAATGATACAACCAAAACAAGAGTAAGAGTCGCAAGAATAACGTAATAAATTGAAGGTAACGTCACCAAGTCAAGGAAAGATTTATTAGTTTCGTTCTGAATACATAAACCTGGTTTAAGACGCTTGAGGGTTATGGCTTCAGCAAGCATAAAAAAGAATAGAGCTTGATTGTCGATTAAATACCGTAAAAGACTTTGGTATATCAATATAAGATCCTGTGTCAAAGAGATGTTTTGAAAAAGCACTACTGAAAACCTTTTATCCCTTTGACCTAAGATGTTTTAGTTTATGTCATCGGAATCGAACTTATGGCCTTCCTATTCCACCGCTAACTGAAATGACATCTCAGCTACCTCATTAAATAAATAACTTTTTGGCTCTACAATCTTTTCTTACTGTGTTTGATGACCCAGAATTTTCTCTCGCTGATTGTATTTATCTTCAACATTTGTCACATTTCTTCAACCTTACTACGTTTAGTGGAATCGGTGCTCCACTGTGTCGATACATGTTCACATCTAACCAATATCACTGTTTTAATTAATGTTAGTTATGTAGTTTTTTTTTCTTTATTCCAAATACTGTTGGTTATAAGCAGCTGATATCCTAACGAGATAAAATAGGCGAGACAACAATTTATGGACAAACTAATAAGATTTAAGATAGCAAATCTTGAATTTTGTTGTGAAACCTATTCATCTACATGGCTAAATGGCATTTTGGCATTATAGCTGATGTAAGTTCGTGATGAAAACCGTAACTCCAATTCCTTACCCTAACTTCTAACCACAAATCTCGATTCTGATTTCTCATACCACTTTATAACCTACTTTATATCTTAGTAGGGTGGTGAATTTTCCCTATATCACTTTGACGTCACTCGTAGGTCATCCATAAATTAGTGTCGCACCGGTAGAAATGAAATCATATATTTCTGCTCAATTCTGCGTTGTTTCTCCCTTTAAAATAATAATTTTCATTGAATAGTTGTTACAATAAGCCAAATCTCATAACTGAATTTTAGTCTAAATGTAATATGTACAAATTCAATACACAAAAAATGATGTGAAACTCTGTAATCTATAAATGTGAATGATTAATTTACAATCTTTAATAATAATTACATTAATGTATTCGCATGATAATACGTTAATTTTAATGGGAATATTAAATGCTGTATACAATTCTGGGCAAGCCTGAATGGGAATAACATGCTAAGTTATTCTTGATGATTTCAATTCTTTAATTAATGGTAACACATGAAAACTGGTCTTTAATCAAAAATATAAATACAGTGGTCTTTAGTGCTGTTGGAAGTATGAAGGCTCAGTTATCACTTCCCGGTTGTTTACACCGTGGAAGGGTTCTTCTGGAGGCACCTGAAAAGGAAATTCGATTAAAGGTGGTCTTAGAGATTTGAGAGCGTGACCACAGTGCCCAAGGGACAATTGCTGGAGGTCGGTCACATACGACCTTTTTGTGGGTAATTTTCGTATTAGCTCTGTACTTGTTGAGACCTTACCGCTGAAGACGGACATCCGTAGGATAAGGCGATGTGTGCATTTTTATGGTCGACCATACCCCTCCTTGTGGGAAGATAGCATCGCTCTTATGATGGTTGTCTGAAGGAAACACCTATGACTGAAAGAAAAAACCCAACAAAAATGATATGATTTCTAGAAGTTTACATTGTTTCGCATTACTGATTACTTATTTTGAAATCAATTTTTCGACATATCGGAATAGGATATATTTATAAATTGGAATAAACTGGTTAAAAAATATCCTAATAACTAATTAAGCCTTCATTATTCATTACAATGAAAATAGTAATAATCAATGAACTGTGTCTCACTAGGACATCAGATAATTTTTTGTAATTTCTGTTGGAAATATGTTAAACAAGATATTACATAATCTTAAAAACTTTAACTTGAAGATACTTTTAGACATATTATGGTCTACGTAAATGATGTTCTATTATTCAGTTATTGGTTCTTTTTATTTTCAACATATAGGCATATTACTTCTAAGGAAATATAGAGAGAAGTATAACTTGTTTTGATAACAGTCCCATGAATACATAACGAGAACTGAAAACAACAACAACAACTATCGAACGATAGCTCAGTAAGCATTCAGTGTATGCTACTTATGTCTGTCGACATAAGTAATATGTAACCTCAGTCAGAAGTGGAATGCCCGGTAGTAGGTCCTGAAGATCGAATTAAATAGAACGGGAATGTAAACAGAGAGTAATTGTAATAGCAATGAAGGAACGATGAAGTTTGAGACAATTGATGAAAGATTTGAGAATCAAATATTTAATGTATAGTTTTTCACATTTTACGAAGGAACTCTATAATTTCTATAAGCAAAAATGGACAGTAGCCAGCAGTAGAATCCAAGGCACGCATTTCGTCCTGTTTGGGATTCGTCAGTTGGATGTACCTACATCCCAGAGTTGATGTTCACTCCAGGAATCGAACCCAGTACCATCCACTTCAGACACCATTGCGTTATCCACTTAGTTACTGAGTCCTGATCATCACCTGCTTGTGCAATGTGGTGAAATTGAAATTTACTTGGTATTGTTTGTATTGAATAATAAATCGGTTGTCCCTACCAAGTCTTCATTCACTATGGAAACAATGAGCATATCATAAAAACAGTTAGAGGTTACCTTGTAGAATAACAAATATAAACGACTGAAATTGGTTATTACTTGATTGTTTTGTAGCTTTAAAGCCTATTGACAATGTTTTATTGAATGCAGTTGAAAATATAAATAAAATTTCAAAATATCACAAAACAACTGAAAGATTTATATAACAATAAATGGAAGTTTTATGTTAAAGAACTTTTACGCAAATGTATTGACGTAATAATTTTCAATATGAAGGGTTTGTTACTAAGATAACGTACTTGGTAGGACACTAAAGTACAGTATTATTGTATCCAGTTGTTTAAAAAATGGAGTTATCTCATTCTACTTTCAATATTATGTAAACGAAGTTTATGAAAGGAGAATGTTTATTTAAAAAAAGTCGTTTTATAGCTTAGTTGGAGGAATTTCATGCAGATTAGTTCAATTTACAGGCTGTATTCTTCCATATATTGATCTCAGTTGAGTAGCTTTGAAAGCTCAAGAGCATTAGATAGTTATTTATTCTTGATATAAAACTTAGAAGTGCATATCCACAACCTCACCAGGAGTCGAACCAAGAAACTCGAGATGTCGCTGAAAATACTGAACCATTAGAGCTACTGGGTGAGTTTCCAATTGCACAAATTCAGTCAGACCGGAAGGTCCTGGTTTCAGTTCTCGGTGAATTGGAGGTTGCACATTTTCGGGGAGTCTCGTGTGAGGATGAAACAGCTGGTTATCAATGGTATCTGAAATGTGATTAATGTATGATGAATACCACCTGTAAATTTTACCAATCTCTACACAACACATTCAATAAACACCATATAGTATATCGAGCTACATTACAAATACGATGGTTCGTTTTT